TAGTAAAATTAGAAGGGAAAAAGTGTTAAGATACTTAGAATCTATGCAAAGTAATCTTAATGCTGTATTTTTTAAAACAATAGAAGGAGAAATATCTTCAGTTTGATTCTTTGTTTCAATATCAATATTATCATCCAAATGTCATCTTTATCCAGTTAAAACTGGTGATAATATTTTGGAAAATATTTTTATTCAAACACCTACAAAAAAAGAACAACTCATATTTGAACGTCTTTTATTAAGAGTAACAGTATCAAATGGATTTCCATTTCAATAGATTGAAAATCAAACAACATTGGATTTATTTGAGTTTTTAAATCCACATTTAATATTACCAGGATGAAAAGTATTATCAAATCGTATATTAAAAGATGAAACAGAAAGTTTAGATGAATTATGAAATGAAAAATTAAGTAATGATAAAATTGGTATAACATTAGCATTTGATAGATGGAAGAACATTTTAAATCAGCATATATTTGAAGCATTATTTATTACATCTTCAGGCGAAATTTTAATATAGAAGGCATCAGATATTAGCAGTAAAAGAAAATTTATGATTGAAATAATACCTAAAATTGAAGGTTTAATTAAAGATGCAATAAATGACTTAGGTGCAAAAGTAATTGCTATAATTTCTGATAATGCAGCAGCTTATGCTAGAGTCCAGTATGAATTAAATAAATGTTAATTTATAAACTATAATGCATTTTATTAATATTGTTACTAAAATATAATTAATGTTTTATTTTAAATTTATATAATAGACAATGACTTCAGTTAGAATATTCTCATATTATTTTTTTACCATATTTTACACATCAATATCAGTTGGCAAATCTTTGATATTTTTAAAGAATCACCTATCTTAAAAAATGCATCAACTAAAGTAATCACAGTAGTGGCATATTTTAAAAATGGAAATTACAGCTATTTTATTAGTAAATTACGAAATATACAAAAATAATTGTATAATAAATATTATTTAATTATAATTCAATGTAAAACTAGATGGAATAGCTATTACTATTGTTTTAAAAGTTTAGTTCAGTCTAAACAGGCTTTATGAGTAAATATATATTTTTTAAATTATAATGTTATTTAATTTATTTTATTTATTAATAATACTTTTTTAGAATTTAGCAATTTGGCATGAACGTCTAGAATCTGCTTCAGCAGAAGCAAGTTCTTCAATATCAAATAATACTAATAAAATTTATTTAAACAAAGACATTTGTAAAATTCTTTTTGATAATAATTGGTAGGATACAATAGAGGCTTTATAAGAAATTTTATTACCTTATTGTGGTGTTTTAAATAAACTTCAAAGTGATAAAACACACACTTTGAATTACTTCATGTTTTAAGATACTTTATTCAATTTTAGAATCAATATTCAGATGTTAAGTTTAGAGAAAAAATGATAGAACAATTAGAAAAACGGTAGTATCAATGGGAATAACCATTATTATTATTCTCTTTTATGCTTTACACAAAATATCAGCTTATATATTTTAATTCTAGAATTGAAAATTTAACCTTTACTACATTAGGACATTATTTAACATATTATTATAAAGCATGATTTCAGAAAAGTCTAACTCGTTTATTATTAGATTTTGAAGATTATCACCAAAAAATTAAACCATTTAATGACGAAACTTTTAATCAATTTGGTGATGATGTATTCAAGTTCTGAAAGTATGTTAAGAGGGATTATAAAGAATTAGCAATTATTGCTTTAAGAATTTTTAAAATTTGTGTAAATACTGTCTCAGTAGAACATATGTGATCTTCTATGGGTTTTTTGCATACAAATCGTCATAATCGACTAAATGTAAGTCTTAATTATTAAAATTTAAATTATAGTTATTTTAGTTATACTAATTTAATAATTTTTTAGAATAATAAAGTTTTATTAATAAGTAAATTTCACACATCTATCAATTTCTTATTCAGAAAAAAAGAATTGCAAAAAAATAAGATGGAATTTCTTGATTTAAATGGTAAACTAGTTAATGATTCTGAAGAAAATTTACAACAAAATCCTGTAAATGATGATGATGAAATTATTAGAGATGAAAATAATATTATCACTTCTGAACGTTGGGAAAATGAACTTACTGAATAAAAATCAATATTAATAGAAGAAGAAGTATTTCAGATGGAAGAAAAAGAAGACTTAAGAGACAATCTAAAAAGTTTGAGAGGTGATCTTTTGGCAGAATACAAGCATCTAGCAATTGATATAAAAGCAAAATGGGAGCTTAAAACTTTGTTTAATTCTGTTATTAATATTT